TAGGAGCGAGTCTCTTGTGCGATGGTATAATGCTGACTGCACCGAGGAGCTTATCGGACTGAACGCCCAAACAAAAGAAATGCACTGACCGTGCCACCTCAGGTACACAGACTAGGCCCGCCCGCCAGCTCCGCTAGCTTCTCGACCGGCCAAAAACAACTGCGCCGACTATAAAGTCAATTGGCCTCTAACGCGTATGATCTATATGAAGCATAGCCCATCTTGATAATCTTTTAGTCCATCAGATAGTCAAGACACCTGAAGGTTCATTATCGTGTTCACAAGAGCTCTTTCACGTTCTCCCACTGTATTTCACAAAGACACATTTTTAATATTATGCGCCAATCTACACCTAGGTCTTCCGCGTGGTCTTTTACCTGTAGGTGTTCAATTTTTCACCATCCCCAAGCCTCCCTCATCTCATCCATAATTTAATTACGTCAATAATATCTAGTGAATACAAATGATCGACTTTCTCAGTTCCAGTTTTCTGTAGTCAATTTAATAATAGTAACATTAATAATAATAAAAAAATGACAAGAACAACCCCGGAAGATAACGGCTCGAGAGCATTTTGTGCGGTCGAAACTTCAATCAAGCTGATCTTTGGCTGACCTGAAGTTTGCAATGGAATAAATCTGCACAGATATTCCCGTTTCTTTACTAGCCTTTCAGGAAATTCCTCCAATCGGGGGGGGGGGGGTTGAGGGGGTTGAAGAGTGAGTCCCTCCAGACAACTGACTGTGCGCGTGTTGTTTCAGTTTGCTGCTAGAGGGCTTGAGCGTCATCAGTTTGTAAACACTAGTGCGGTTCAAGGAAGTGATTGTAGCAAACTATTTTACAGGTGGATAGAACGCTTTTTTTCTAAATCCGTTGCAGTGTGGAAACTTGTAAAACGTGGCTCAACATGTTTCCCCCCCCCCCCCCAAACTGTGCGGAATAAATGCAGGATTTACTAAATTGAGAATTAAGAAGACAGTTATTGGATTGCATGTTAAAACTCTCATTGTTTTCGTAAATTATAAGATTTGTTTCCTTCATATATGAGGTTTTTAGTGTCTGTATTACAAAGGTATGACAAAGGCGATTGCGATGAAAATATACATCCCAAGCTTCACTGGCTTTCTAGTTATCTCTTTGAGGAACGGAAGTACCTATACGTACCATCTGCTCAGAATTAACAGCGGTCATTAACACCATTAATGACTTGGAGACGCGTGGGAGTTCATTATAAATATTAAGATAAACTTCGTGCTTAATTTTGAATGAAATAAACGTGTTGGCAAAAGTTCAAGGCGTGTCAATAAATAGCTCCATTTCGAATCATGGGGTCAGCTGGCCCAGGAACCGTCTATTCAGACAGGGTTTCCATTGTTTTTCTCAGTCCCTCCAAAGCCAGAGCGGCAGGCCTGCCTTAAAACCAGGCCAGGATCGCTACTTTTCACATACTTTCTAATGCATTATTTATTAACCATCTCATCGTTCGATTCTGTACAATGTAAAATACTGAAAGCGATGTTACGTAAACCACAAACAATTTGTGAGTCAAATATTTTTCGATCCCGCTTAAGTTTTTAAATACAACGGAAATCGTATTTGTTTTAAAGGAAACATGATAACTCCATTAAGCAATGTCTTTCTTGAGGAGCTAATAGTCATAACTCCATTAAGCAATGTCTTTCTTGAAAAGCTAATAGTCGCTCATCTGTTCAAGAAATACCCCGCCCTTCGCTGAAACCAAAGGTCCATGATCCAGATGAATCAAATCCGCTGTATCTGTCGCGATTACAATCTCCGAAGCTGAGTTTTCGAACCGACTGTCCGCGTTAAAGATAAATCTTAAATTAACCCCGCTGAAGATAATTCTACAGGTACATCTTGTCCTTAGGTTTCCACGGGGAAAAGCCGAATCGAAAGTTGAACATTATCAAACGTTTCGGAAAACACTGCACCTGCCATATTCAGGGTGAATACGTAAAGGTTGAGTGGTGTATTTAAAGGTGCTGGTTGGCGAAGCGAGCCACCGGTTAGCACCATGAAATCCAAATCTACGCATACTCCCTGATATGTATACACTGTTGCCTAAATCGCACATTATTTACATATTCACCATGAAGATGACAACTGAAATTTTTACCAAAACATTGGCTCATTTTCAACTACTACTACTACTACGTATTCAATTTGTTTGCTTATCAGAGCCCTGCTCTTCAAACAAAATGGCTTCTGAATTAGGACCTAATATTAATTTTTCTGTGAAATCATGTCGAAAGTAAGGGTGTGTTGACAGGCATTTACTAACGCTGCTTTTGTGAAGCATGGAAATGTTAAGAAGGATTCATATTCTGACACGAGAGCAATATTCAGTTCTTAAATTTTCACAAACCATAGTTTTCTCCTTATTTTTAGTTAAACCACATATTTATAACCAATTCCAGGTTTAGTTTCATATTTTTAAACACACGTGCACAGCAAACAGACTTTATACTGTACTTAAATATCGAAATACGAATCCTGTCATATTTGAAGTGAAGAAATATAGATGATTGATAATTTTTATTGCCACTATAAAATGTCACAAAACTAATACAACCACATAATGGTGCTTGAATTGAGAACTGATAACAACTTGGGTGAAATGGCAAATAATGATTTTGAAAGCGTCAAGATTACAAGACAATCATGAGCAATGCTTGGGGCTAACTCACCATGAACCTGGCGCAACGTCTTGTGGTGCACATTAACATTTCATTACCGGCGGAAGTAAGGATTTTATAAAAAATTAACGAGTAGGCCTGGACATGACGGCATGAAGCGCTCCGCATCCTGGACGCTGGTCGCTCTATGTGCAGTTATAGTTGCCGGTAAGTCTGCATGCCATTGAAAGTCGCAGTGTTCACACTTTTCAGCAAGCATTTGGCCCCTGAAACCACATTGAAGGCAGCAAATTTTGACTATGAAAACGCCATCCAAGATATGGCAACATTTTGCCCTTTAAATTGCCTGTAAATAAAATAAACATTTCTCATCCTATCCCCTCCACAATTCTGACATCTAAAGAACACGCCCACATCTTCAATTCACCCTTGCATCCCTCAACACCACCAAGCATCAATCACACTATCACACATGTGCCACGAGCCTCAAGGTTGCCTGAGGTAGATCGGGGATTGCCCCATTGGGTCAAAAAAGATGGTGTTTTGACAGATACTCCACAACTAAGTTCAACTATATTTTACATTTATTGTAATTCTCAAACACGTGGACCTTTCCTAGGTCATTCTGATAGCGGTGATCATTGCCAAGGTGACCGTGCTTGTGGTGGTGGTCGTACTGTCCTCTGTCATAATGGTCAGTTTGGAGTCATCCGACGTGGTGGTGGTGAAGTCATGTTCAAGTTGGCTGTTATGGCAGAGTTGGTTTTTTGTAGTAGTGGTCACCATGATGGTGGTGATGGCCATGTTGGTTGACATTTCAGCTGTGGCACTAGTGACGGTTATGGTTGATATGATAATGGTCCTAATAGTGGGTAGGTGATGTCACCAGGGTGGTGATAATAGATGTAGTTGTGGAGGTTGTGGTGACTCTAACTGTGATTGCAGGAGTGTTTTTGTCGACTGTTTTTATGTTGGGATCTGCAGTGTGATAATGTGTCATGTCTTCCAACCTATCACACACCATACAGAACATAATGACTATAAAAGTTGATGAGTAAATGAGAAAAACCAGTACTCTGAAACAACCAGCTCCAGTACCACTTGGTCCACTACATATTCCTAGAAGACTTCCCCAGATTTATTCCAGGCCTCCGTGGTCAATTGTCCCAGCTATAACAAAACCACAGGTCTGATACTTATGAACTCTGAATGTTGTTTCACCGGTGTACATGTGCTGGTGGTTGTTTCAGAAGTCAACAGCCTGGACAATGTCAAGTTGGTATTTCCACCAGTAGTTCGAGTGGGTGATGAAGCTACAGATAGAAAATGTCATACTGATTATGGTGAATTAAAAATGTTGGAAAATATAGTAACGTTTAATTCACGTAATATCTTGCGATTCATCTTAAGGGTCTGAAGAAAACCATGAAGGTAAAGCTCCACACATTCCTAACCTTGGCAGTGAATTCGCCAATCTTGCAATTGATAATGTATTTAAAAATGTCCACTTATCTTGTGACTGCTCTAGAACGAAAAATTGCTTCAGGCTGAAGCATCCCCTTGCAGAGAATTAAGCATGTGTTTGCTATTCTGCACTCTTGTCAGGTTCAGATAATCTACCGACTGTAATCCAAGAATGTTTGTTAATATACCCCCTCTTCCTTTCATCCAACACACTGACATGTAGTTTTAGTTAGATGTTGCCAAGTGTATGATGTGGCTGACAACATAGAAATGGGAGAGGTGGAAGTGACAACTAAAATTGTGTTTCTTACTGTGCTTTCAAAATTTTAATTCTAGTCTGTTTCTTTAGCAGAATCATGATTGTGACACTGATAAATTAGACGACTAATTCTTAATTGTGGTCCCGCGCCATAGCCGCGCGGTCTGAGGCATCATGCTTCGGACTGGCGATATGGAATGCGCACTGGTTCGAGTCTCGGGGGAGAAGAAATTTTCTCACGAGCTTTCGACCAGTGTATGGGACCGGTGTCAACCCAGCATCGTGAGGAAATTGGGGAGCTACAATGAGTAGCGTAATCCGGTCAGGAAAGCTAGCAATGGCTGGGGGTTCATCGTGCTGACCACACTTCACTCTATACCTGGTTGGATGATCATTCACCTCTGCTAGGCATGTGAACGTGAGGCCAGCAGTCAAGCTAGTCGGCTTTGGCTCTCTGGAGCTGTTACGCCACGGATTTCATTTTTAATTTTAATTCTTAATTATGTGTTTGTCCTCAAGGGAAAAGATTTCCATCAGGTGACACCTGATGCTTATAATTAACAAAGAAACTCCCTACCACAGGATGTACACTAAACATTCAATAATTATTTTGCTGTTCTCATGAACACTTGGAAGGATGCATGCAAATTGAAACAAATGAAATTAAACCAAAGAGTGAAAGATTACTCAATCAAAAGCAGGTCAAGTATCTCACTAATGTCTGATTCTGTTACTAGAATTCTTAACAAACTGTTATAAAATTTCAATAAACTGCCCTTATTTAACCCTGTGCCACCGATTCATTAATCAAGCTTCATGTGGCCCTCAAACTGAACAAGTTAGAAAACTCCTCAGAAAAAGTTTTAACTCAAAGGTTTCCTCATTTAGTTTTAGTATATTCAGCTAATTTACTTCTTTATTTTACAGATATCAGCATCAAATGCAAACCAGGTATCTCTAAGGAATATACCACTCCATTTGTCTGGAAGATTTCGCTGTGAAGTATCAGCTGATGCCCCTCTGTTCACAACCAAATGTACTGAAGATGAATTAACTGTCCTGGGTAAGCCAAAATAAAATGTTTGTTACAGATAATAGCTACCATAAACTCTTCATTGGCTGCAACTGGTCTCGGTGAATGGAAGAAAGATCATTACAAGACAAGTGTAATACATATTGAAGTTATATGAAATGTATGATACTGTCCACAGAATATATATGTAAACACTACAAAAGGAACAAGGCATTTTAGACGAAATAAGACTAAAAGTATTTGAGAGAAGTTTTGGACTACTTGAAAGAGAGATATTTTTCATAATAACAGACTATGGAGACACACTCTTCAAATTAATGATGAAATATTGCTAACTAATTAAAACAGGAAACCAACAATAACTGTTGAAGATACTATTGGACAAATGAGGCTGAAACAGGTTAATAAATGGCCAAAATCCCTGACAGTTTGATGATAGTGATGGTGTTAATGATGTGTGATACTGTCATGTAGCTTATTTTGTGAACAATTTATTATATAATAATTCTTGGCGTAACAGCCCTATGTGAGCCAAAGCTGACTAGCTTGACTGCTGGCATCACATTCACATGCCTAAGCAGAGGTGAACGATCATCCAACCAGATATAGGATGACGTGTGGTCAGCACGACGAACCCCCAGCCATTGATAGTTTTCCTGACCGGATTATGCTACTCATTGTAGCTCCCCAATTTCCTCATGATGCTGGGTTGACACCGGTCACATACACCAGTTGAAAATCTCATGAGAAATTTCTTTCTCCGAGACCCGAACCAGCGTGCACTATAGAAGATGTAACAAGTTAAACTTGACTGATACAGACCACAATGAAATTAACCATCAGCATTTTAATGTAAATTTTTCCATACAAAATTTAAATTACATCTGCAAAATGGGTCAGAGAGTAAACATGCAAATGGCTGGACAGATCTATAAATACATTCTGAACCATGTCTTCTTTTAACAGAGAACTGGCTTAGGTTGCATGTTAATTTCACGCATTTGTAACTGAATTGACTGATATGGCAACAAGGGACTAAACTTCCAAACGTGGTATCTGCACTTCCTGCACACAAATATGACAGGTATACCACCATGATTTAACTCTTCTTAAAAGAAGGCAGTGAAATTTCTGTCAAACCAGATAATATGACATGGAGCAAATTCGCATTAACGAAACATACGTAATTGCAGAGATGACTGTATTTATAATTTTTATTCAAAATCAGTGATGTAAGAATTATGATTTAGTATAAGACATTATAAATAATACTATTTTTTTTTTCACTTCTCGACTTGCTAGTTTCAAAATCGGCGTTATTATGAATCAGCGCAAATTGAACCTGCGCAAATCGAGGGTTACCTGTATATGATCCTGTTATGACAGTCTCCATGGCAAGTAAGGAAAGGCATTTATTTCTTGTTCTTTTTTTATGGTCTGGCCACACAAAATTCCGTTTGTCATAAATGTAAACATGTCAAGTTTTTTTGTTCATCAACATATTTGTAGTTAAGCTTACTGTTCATAAATGTCACCATGGCAAAATCTTGACTGAAAACCAGTGCTACCATTCCAGTTTTAGAATCATGTTTGAAACCTTGAACTACTAAGTGAATGCTTGCAGAATTCCCAGATTCTCGACCTGTGATGACCGTAATGAACACAAGCTACCGAGAAGGTGAGCTGCTAACTGTGAACTGCACAACACAACCATCTAAAACAATGCCAACTCTCACATTCTATATCAACAATCGCGCAGTAAGTAAATTCACTACCAGGAACAGCACTCTTATGCATAAAGAAAGACACATTCGTATTATTTGTAGTAACAGGAACGAATGATCAAAGACTGCAGATATTCTTACAATTATGCCATAGCTCAGAGCTTAAATATTTGTACTCCTCCCCCAATATTGTCGGGGTGATTAAGTCAAGAAGAATGAGATGCGTGGGGCAAGAGGTGTGCACCGGGTATTGGTCGGGAAGCCTGAAGGGAAGAGACAACTGGTGAGACCTAGACATAGATGGGAGGATAATATCAAGCAGGATCTATGAGAGATAGAAGTTGAAAGCGACTGGATTTTGTTGGCCCAGAACTGGGACTGGTGGAGGGCGTTGGTTAGTTCGGTGATGAATCTTCAGGTTCCCTAAGCCATCTAGTTAGTTAGTTATGCCATAGCCCAGACACTGAGATATCACCTTGCCATTATGGAGACACATGTTGAACCCCAGGGCAGGAAGTGTGGAATTATATCAGATAAAGTACTACTGAGGCAGGTGCACCTCTGTTCTTTTCAGACTTTCATCATCCACAGGTGCTGCAAGCTCATCTATCACTGTCCCTAGCAGATGAGTTGGGTGTGGCCAGTCAAAACACATCATATCCCCAGTACTCAGACAGTTTAGCTGATTAACCTATCCTCACATCTAATCTATAACTTAGATTTTGGCACATTTGATACTTCACAAATCACCCATATAATATTTTTAATGTTATTTGCAAAAACGGCATAAAGCAAATGCAGAACTGGAACACTGTGTCTGCCAGTCTGAATGTTTTATATTCTACGTAGAATTTGGAATTTGGCGGTTCATACCGAAAGATGGATTTGTACATTGCTCTCCAGCCACAAAAAATTCAAGAGCAAGAACATTTATCAGTTATTCTGATTAGGGATATGTATGGTTTCCATCAGTCCCTCTAGTTGAATGCTGGGGTAGTTCCTTTAAATTGGCAATGATTTATTTCTTGCCATTAATTTCTATCTCACTATGCCACATGTAATGCAGTTATAGCTAATGATATCAAATGTCCCTGGACATGATGAACACACTAAAACATATTGTATACAGCACAATTAAATTTATAGTCTCAATATGTAATGATAGCCAATTTTAAATAGAGTGACAGTATGTCAGTCATTGCTGAATAACATTCAGTTGATTCATCATAATTAAATACCACTATCCAACCATACTCTATTATGCAGCTACCAAAGGATGTGGTCAGAGTATGGGAAGGAGGGGCAATGCTAGAGACAAAGCTTAAGAGGTCAGACTTCTCTCCGAGAGGAGAGCTGCGACTCAAGTGTGTGGCCTCAGTTATGGGGCTGTACAACATCAGCAGTGGAAGTATAGCCATCTGGCTGGAACATGGCAAACCATTTGTACTTGGAGCTGAAGATGCAAGTACCACAGGTGTGTTGTAAGATTCATACCTAAGCAAGTACATTAACACTTTCTTCCTCCTAACATATTAGAACAGAATAAACTAAAAAGAATCCTGCTCCTTCTGAAGCATAAATATCTGATTTGAAATATAAATACTTTTAAAACATGTCTCATAGCACCACACACTAGTATAAACATAACAGAACAGGGTTAAAGCATATATGCACTATCTACATATCATATTTACTACAGACTCAAGAGTGAAAGATGAGAAAGTACCAAATGAAGACGACTGTCTTTGGGTTGTTGCACTGTGTAATCTGGTAAAAGTTTACTGGCATTGTCTCCATCATCAGGGTGATGACTACCAGACTACAGAGTGAAACAACCCAGAACAGTCACCTTCACACTCGCCACCATAAGAACCTCAAATCTGACGAAGCATGTAAATGTCACAGCTGGACAGAAACACAGACTCTCTGTACTGTACTTCTTTTTACTGACTGGTGCTGCTTACTCCACTAAAATAGGTATCATAAAAATCTTCATTTGTGAAAAAGGAATTGTTTATTTCCAGGGTCCAAGAATTCAGCAGAAAATGGTTTCATGTCACTGGGAATGATGATGTGTATGTACTGTATATATTCTGTCCAGTTCATGGAGGCTTAAATATATAGACAAGAAACTGTAATATTTGCCCTGAATGCCAGTGATCATTTGCATATTAGGACTTCTGTCAAATACTCCCCCATTTCAACTAGTCACAGCCATTAGGGTTAACAGATTCTCATTAGTGGAAGGCAATGGTATATGGAAATATAAAAGAAAAGTTCCTTAACTTGCAAGATGTGAGTAGACAAATAATAACATATTTTTGACATCTCATCCCAAAACAAGCAACTCTAAGTAAAGCAAATCTTTTAATGTGCTGGGATAACTGTATATTAAATGTACTGCAGATAACATAAGATGTCAAATATACTTGTAATTGCAGTGTAATGAATCGACCATTGTCACAAATCTACAGTGATTCATTAGTGTGTGTACATGTACGATATTTACATCTTACTCATAGAAAGATGTTATCTAGCACAGCAGTTAAAATTTAGAGAATATACTTTCAGCATCTAAGATATACGTATCAAATTAGAGTAGCTTAAAGGTGATTTTTGTGATTTTTATGTCTAACAAAATAGTCAATTGTATATAGAAAAGTGTTTCAACAGTAATAATTGCCATATTTCTACTGAATACTAGTAAACAGATAATTGTAATACTTGTGGTAATGAAGCTTTGTAAATAGTAGCTGCTGCTGGAAAATAATCCTGTATCTGCACTGTACTTTTCAGAAAGCAAAGATAAAACATCTGTCATGATAAATGGACTCCATTTAATTCAGTTCTTAATAATCCAAACTAGTCAACAGACATGCAGAAACTAAAAGAGGGAAAGATGACTAAATATGGTCATATTTTCTGGGGAAACTCAACAGAGAGCAAAGAAGTATTTTACATTCAGAAGAAAATTGTTAGAATAATGGCAGGCACTAAAAGGAGAGCCTCATGCAGGGAATTGTTGAGGAAATGTAATATTTTTCCACTAGCCAGCGAATCCTCACTCTTGTTATTATCATTTGTAGTGGACAGCATAAACAAATTTCAAACAAACTCAGATATCAACAATATAAATACAAGATACAGACATAACCTTTGTGTGCCAAATTCTAACCCCAGTAAATATAAAAAAGGAGTTTACTATACTGGAATTAAGTTATTCAACAATCTTCGACCTACTATCAAAAGTTTTAAATCACGATATAAAAATATTTAAGCCAGCATTAAAAAAGTATCTCATACCTTCCTCCTTGTATGGAATGTAATTAAATTCTATTGTATCCGACAAAAAAACTGAATCACTATACAAAGAAGTTTAAGCAAGCACTAAAAGAGTATCTGCTATCTCACTCCTACTCCACCGACGAACTGAGCTCAACCAAAAATTCTCAGCTTTTATAAATACATGTAGCAATAGTGGTTTTGCATTCTTGTATAATTATTTTTTCGGTAATACTGTAGCTGACTGTACATCACCATCATTATATTTGTTTTCAATACAAGTATTTTATTTATGCTATGACATATTCTATATCCTTAGCTTTGGCCTATGTAAATATATTCTATTCATTACTTTACGTGCATACTTTCTACAGTTACGAAATTTGCATAGACATATTACTTGTGAAAACGATATGTTGCCCAATGTTAGGTTAAGGTAGATTGGGCCACTGATGCGCTTGCGCAGACGATCACGGGTAATGGCGTCACCAACCTAATGCACGACTCAAGGAACATCGTCGTCGGCCATTCTCTTGTTATGAACTTCAGATCTTACGCACAATACAAATAATCAACGGTGCACTTGTTCTACGCATTAACACACACCACAACATGTTACAATCTTCCTTCACCCTATGAAGTCGGATCTTCTCTGAATAATATTTAACGATTCGTTCTGTACCTCAAAGACGAAACAGCTCCTCTCCATTACAAAGAGTTTAATGTTTAAAGGAAACAGTGCATGTCTACACTGAGAATCATTCGATACCCACAAATACAAAAGGCAGTCAATGATTGTCAAAGCACTGAGATTTAATATACTAACGTAACACTTATTCCCATTCTGACAAGCAACACAGTAGTACATAGATAAATTACATTGATTCTAATTATTATTAGCACACACAATCACTCGAAATATTTTACTGTTTAAGTTAATGCTTGTTCAGAAAACATTTACGTAGCGATGAATTATTTTTGAGCGACTTCACAGCAAGTGGTGGCCCATGAAGTAATGTTCTTACTAAATTTCATTAATTTCCATGCAGCCTTTTTATGGTTATGAAATGTGTAGACAGATATCACTTGTAAAGATGTTGGGTTAGTGATGCTATGTACAGACAAACATGGGTAACGGTATCATCATAAATCCACCCCATAACTTTAGTCAACTATTGCTGGCATTATGGAGTGAAGTTAAAAACTGAATTTTCATTAGTCACTGGTGGTGTAAGTCCATAGAAATTTTAATAAAAATTCACACATCATCCAGTTATTAAATGCATACTGACAAATATGACAAGTGAAGGTCTGGTAGGTTAGCTTCAAGCTAACCATCATGTTATGATTAAACTAAGTGTAAATCATTTTCACACACAACATAATAATGCAAATCACACAAGAATTAGGAGTTCATGTTTTCATACAATAGTTTATAAATTCAACAATCTGTATATACAAAAGTTACAATAATCACTGTTGAAAATACAAAAACACAAAATATTGTACATTAATTACAGTAAAAGTATTTAGTATAAAAAGAGTCTTGTAGATTTTATTACACATTTGGATGGCCAAAAGAATCATCCCTGTGTCTAGAAGTTGTAAAGCTTTGTGTTTTTTTTCTCACCATTAAACAGTTGTGAGAGATCAATTCCAGAGTCCCAGATACAGAATGAATAAGTAAGTGGGTGGACCCCAGAGCCAACTAATATGGATGTGATGGCAAAGAAGAAATTCATCACTCATTGGGAATTAAGTTTTGAAATGTGTATAATTAATTCAAAGTTCTTGAATTCTTCATTATATGCATATTTTCCCCAACCAAAAATTAACTTAATTCATAATTCATGGAAGCATCGAACTGTGCTCAGGCCTTCTCCTTGAAACTTTCTATGAGATGTCGTGAAATTACAAGTCGCTGGATTTGGGATGTTCCTTCATAAATCTGATATATCTTGGCATCTCTCATTAGTTTCTCTACTGGATATTCACTGTTGAATCCAGCACCTCCAAATATCTATAAAATAATAAGAAATATGGGCAGTAATTTCAAAACAACTTTCAAACTACTTTCCAAATTTGGCACACATTTCTGAAAAACATAAAACAGACACGGAGATGAAGGCATGATGGGAAGTAAAAATAAAAAAAGACAGAGCTTACTATGTGTGGGCAAAATATTTCTCTCTCATTTTGATGGAAAAACAAGGACCAAAAATTGTACAGAATATGTAAAAATTAAATACCATACTGTTGGACATTATCATCAAAATTTTATACTCTGATGATAGAGATACAATGTGCAATTTATTGGTTTAGACTTAAAATGTCATCCACAAATGGGTTTGGAAACTGATACCACTTTTAATGTATTGTATCCTGTTGCACTTTCTTACCTGTACAGCATCTGACACACACTTATTAGCAATATCACCTGCGTGTGCCTTTGCAATAGATGAAAAGTACGAATTCCTTATGCCATTGTCAGTTTGCCAAGCTGCCATCTTCCACGCAAGACGTGCGGTCTCAATGTTTATTGCCATATCAGCCAGCATGAATGCAACGGCCTGCAGAGAGAGATAGCTGTCCGTCACAATTGTTTCAACACACAAATTCTGATGAAGTATGAGCCAAAGAAAGAAATTTGGTGTTGCAATATTCTCAGTATATCACAAAATTCTATTGCCAACAATATATGTCGGCCAATAAGAGACTACAGCCATATATTTAGTCTCATCATTGGACAAGACTACCTTGCAGTGTATCTACACAGACTAAGGCAATGTCCTACGTAAGCGATAACAAGCGGGCTGCATAAGCAGCATGGGGTATCATATGAAGCGGGGAATCGCTTGTTGTGTCCTATGTGAGAGACTGCAATAGAAGCACACGGCCTTCCTGCGCATGCACCTTCCCTGTACTGCATGGTCAGAGCTTTCTTGAACATGCGCCTTACTGGCCAGCGCAGCGACTCGCACGAAAATATCAAAATATTTGATCTCAGACTTTGGTCACTTCCCTCTCCTGACCGCTTCGCTGGAACCTAGGACAGCGCCACACAAACAGCCAGTTTGATATTTCCGCTTCACCCACGCAATTCGCACCGCTCGCACTTAATCGCTCACGTAGGACACCGGGTAAAAGCCTGTTCATGTCCTAACTGTATCCTCTACAAAAAGCACCACAATAAACAAGGATTATCTTATCATCTTCCACAGTGCCCCGGCTTGAACTGCAACAACAGTGTAACATCTAGTACCAAATTACAAGTGGTGATGGAAAATGAATGGAATATCTCAATAAAAATGCTTTTTAGAGTATACTAAGTCTTTCAAAACTGTCTAATCAATGTGCACAACTAAAGCAGCAAGATAGAGCCAATAAAACATGTTACATATTACTGGACAGAAATTTAGACAGATTTCAGCCCCCCTGAAAAAAAAAGGCTGTACTGTAAATAGTTTGACGACCTACACAGAGGGGAAGTCGAAGCAACTGATCAATGATTAAATGTTAAAATAATAAAAAAATTAGTGGGGATGAGGTCTAAGAAAGAAATGTGTGCTGATGTTCGTACTGGGCAAACAAAGGATTCCCTTATCATTAAAATATACAAAAATTATTCCAAACCCAACTTCAGTAAAATTAAATAAAAAATTATTATCCTAAAAAATCATCTGTATGTAGCATTAAATTTTTTACCTTGCTATACATAGTTTCTATCAACTACATAATATTAATGAAACAAAAGAACAGTAATGTTTTATACTCTGCTCACCTGATGAAAGACTGGTGTTCCTTGTGTTTCCTTATTATTATGTAGACAATTTATATAAGATATATGAAGAATCTAAATACGTTTTTAGTGAGACTATTGGTTATTTTCTTGTACTGTACACTGGTGTGGGAAACATTTACTGGTGACTACATTACAATGAACTGACTGTGACAAAATAATTACTGTCACATTCCAAGATCACAGGCCCTTTTCTGGCAAAATTTGATGCCCCCTGTCTATAATATTATTTCTGCGCTGTAACACAGATGGTTAGTTTTTACCCTCTCACCACAGACACATTGGTTCAATTATGATGGACAATGTACATCAGGCAAATTTTTCTTTGAAAACATAAGTTTTCCCCTCTCAACCACCATTCCAACAGGACTACATCTCATGTACGCCCAGCTTGTGCAACAGGTCTGACCAATCAGCAAAATTAGTTCATATCACTAATCTCTCAACCTGCCTGGTGATTTGCAATTGGAACACCAAACGTTTTCCTTTCCAAAGAATACTTTGTTGCCTCATCTAGGGCCCTCTGTGCTACCCCTGTTGCCCCTGAAGCAACCTGCAACACAGAAATTAGCATATAAGATAATTTTGAATTTGATGAAGTCAGTGATCACACAGACAGTACATAAAATAGGTTAATTTATAAGATCTGGACAACAAGTAACATCAGCAGTGGTTGTTCTGTTACTTACGCCTGGCCGTGTTTTGTCAAAAGCTCCCATTGCAATTTTGAAACCTGCTCCTTCACCAAGGAGAAGATTTTCTTTTGGAACACGAACATCTTCAAAAGTAATACCTCTTGTATCAGAGCAGCGTTGTCCCATGTTTATTTCCTGAAATTAAAGAAAGATCTATGACTTGTAATACATTCAAGATGAAATTAACAGCAGATTACACTTGGGAAATATGCCACTATGTTTTGTGGAAATAATACAATTACCCAGCCACACATAGCAGTGCCAAATATTACAAAAAATATACAGTTATAACCGAAGGTACTGATGTAAGAAACAGGTAAGTCAACTTTCTGAGTTTTTACTTTTGTAAAGTTTCACATACAGGTAATATTGGCCAACAAATTGGTGATAGAATGAAGTAGGTCCACTGGTAGTATGTTTGATTGGAAACAAATTTAATTCACATTTAAGTTTGTAGCAAGAAATAGGAAATTCATTGCTTTTACCACAAAATTTAGCAAAGCGGAGTTAAATGGTTCTTCAATTATGATTCATGGATCATGTCATTGTGGGATTACCTACCTTCCTTCCTGGCGTAACTCCTGGCGTGTCACGCTCCACAATAAAGCCACTGAATGCTTTGTTTGCAGGGCATTTGGAGTCAGGGTCTGTTCGTACCAAAACAAAGTACCTGAAACATGACCATAATTTACTTTGATGCACAAAAGATAAAGGCTGTCAGCCTCTGAAACATTGTATAGATAACTTAACTCCAGATATGGCACATCTTCCCATCACGATACCAGACCAACGTCACAAGCCTTTAGACCTACTAACCAGTTTGCTACACCTGCATTTGTAATCCACATCTTCTGACCATTTATGATGTATTCATCTCCCTTCTTCTCAGCTCGAGTTTTCACTCCATTTACGTCTGAACCTGCTCCAGCTTCTGTGACACAATAAGCCTGTAAAAATTAAAGTATATACAATGAGTCTTCATTTGCAAAATAATGGCAATTCATGCATACAAATTAACTCTTTCATGTACAAACTTCACCTAAACAACATTTAAAAAGGTAAAATTTCAGATTATCACAGCGGTGAGTATGAAGAAAGAAGGTGAGGACAAAACAAATGACCACAGTGAATAATAATTTGTATGACTGAAAGGTGTTTTAACCCTCTACAAAGTTATATTGTTATTAACACCATTATAAAAGGATTAATGAAAAAAAAGCATATGAATTGTTCTGAGTCCATCAAAATTCAGATCTGATCCTTTGTCCAAATACTAGGAAAATTTACAAGCTGATCTGTGAATCCACTTGCAAGTCATTCAAAGAAATGAAAAAAGTATGTCTCTCTCAATAAGACACTAAACAAACAACCACTTCCTTACGTCAGATGTCAAAAAAATATATTGTTTAAAGACTAGTGGGAAAGACTACGTAGTGTAAAATAACAACCAACATAAAGAAAATAAATAATGTTACACAAGGCAAAAACCCATACTTACAGTAACTAGTGGCTCTTCTAACAACCGTCCCAAGAATTTTTTCTGTTGCTCCTTATTTCCAGCTAAGATGACAGGTGTTTGCTGTAAACATGTAACAATTATGATCCAAGAAACCGCTTCATAAGTTTAAATATATGTAACCACTATCCAAAGTGATTTAAGGGGCCAAAAAATGATAAGACCAAAGTCCTTAGAACTTATTTCTGCATGGTTTTACACTAAATATTGCTGCAAATGGGACAGAGACACCTCTCTATTCAATAACAAGATACTCATGTTCCATGAGAATATAGTACTACAAACAATAGTTTTTTTTTTAGTTATTATTTTTTTTTTTTGTAGCTTAACCCAGTAGCAGGTCATCGCCGCCTCCTTTCGGAGGTTTCATAGTCTTTAAAGCATGCATTTATGAGTAGTGAGTGACCAGCCCACTGACTCTGCACAATTTCTACTGACTCCTGATTTGACTGCCAGAGCCATCTAGCAGTGAAGCAGTGAATCAGGAGAGACTTGGGTGAGAAATGGCCGCTGAATTTTGCTTACAAAACATCTCGTATCATGCTCGCAAGGTTCTTTTACATGCCATAAATCTATGACATGGGACCGCCGGCTTTACTTCCCCTCCGAAGGAAGTTGTGCTACAGATTTTTATCACCCTTAAAAATCCATTGACTTCGGCTGGGATTGAACCCGCGAACCTTGGGTTCAGTGGCGAGCACGCTAACCACTAGCCCACCGAGGGCGACACAAACAATAGTGGCAGTGCCTAATTCTCTTAGTGGGTAGTTCTGCCAACATTACAGTATGGTAAAAGGCAACAAAACCAGCACAAATATCACCAACGGTACTGAATGTGAACCAATCTCAAAATGGATATGGACTTTTTGATGTGTGTCTAACATGAATGAAACTCAATATGACTCTGGGGCCCACTCAGACTATCTAATGGATAACAGGGTTCAGAGTTCTTTCTGTATTCAAGGGTAAAGTGACCAAGGCGTAAAGGTAAACCACTCATCTCCATCTCATGTTGAGGTGAAGAATGCTTGGAGCATGTACAGTA